CAGAATTCACAGGTTTTGTCTATGGAAGGCTATTGGGCCCTAAAATAACATCAGAATATAAACAATTTTAAGGGCACAATTTATTGGTCTAGGAGCTAGTGTACTCATGGTTGTAACTTCAGACCCCTTGAAAATTGAAGCTGGTTTTTCATAGAATGACACGAGGTTGAAGTCGGTAATAAGGGTAACATATAATTTTACTCCTTCGCTCGAGATGACCAAATCGCCAGAGATGATAACAAAGACCAGTAATATTCGACTGCTTAAGAATGCCTACTCTAAAACAGGCGGCCAAGTGTGTGAACGGACTGCAGCCGGCAAAAAATATACCAGCCACAGCCCGACAGACGATTATTGACTAAAACATTCAACAAAAAAACTAACATACAAACCAAATAAAGCTACGCTTAAGTACAGTTATGACGCCATCGAAAGCACCCTTATGTTGCTGTCAAAATTTTGTTCAACTGTTAAGAAGTTAGAAGAACGTTAAGAGAATTTCTACTTACATGTGCAAGGGTCTCTCCAAAAATTAAGAGACAGAAGACGCATGCGCCAAACGTGTATGTGGAAATGCAACGTGGAGGGGAGGCCCCCTATTGAAAAGTACGGTGACTGACGATCATAGTATATGTTTTATATTATGTGCACTAACAATCCTAAAATACAATTATAAACAAACAATTTAAATTGAAATAAATATTTAAATGTTTTTCAGAATAAGTATAGTTTTATAATCTTAGGTCACTTTAAGAAAATAAAGACTTGTTGTGTTTGGTAATGAGCTCATGCGCCACCGTAGCTTATAGTATTACAATTCATCAAAAGATGGCGCTAGAAATTAAACAACTGCTCTGCCATCTTGAGGTAGTTTATGTAATACGTTTTCTATTACAGAGGGTCTATTAACCTGTATAGCTTCCCATTAAGCAGATATAAATCAGTGAGATCGACGAGTTAAGGCCTACTTTCTCCGGAATAGAGTATATTTATTCTATATAGATTGCTTATTTTATTGTTATCAGCTCTGTAACACAGTACAGTATATGATTATGAGTATTCAACATCATCGCGGCAAGTCACGGCCACGGCGAGGTCACCACACTGGGCATTCTGGGTAACAGCGTGGTTGTTGGTTGTTGTAGCAACAAAAAACTTCGTTGTCGTATGAGATTACCTCAACTTCGTATGAGACGACATTGTCAAATGACAATACAGTAGTACATAATCATATTATTAGTACAGTAGGGCCCTAGTAATATTACGGTGCAAATCCACTTTAGCCTTTAGGCACCTTAGGTATCACGAAGTGATGCACAGACTTCTGTGTATCATCAACTGATGCACAGACTCCGTATATCAAGGAATGATGCAAAAACCCTAACCCTGGCCCTAACTTAAGGGTTCAAAGATAGAGAACATGGGTCCCAATAAAACCAATGTCATTTACATCAATATAAATATGATATTATATCAATATAATAGGTTAGGGTTAGGGTTATAGGCACATTGGTTTTATTGGGACCCATGTTCTCTATCCTTGGGCCACCCTAAGCCATAAAGTATAACCTTAGCCTAGGCTAGCCCCTAGGTATCACGAAGTGTGTTAGAACTTAGGCCCGGTTTGGTTTAGGGTTAGGGTTTTTGCATCATTCCTTGATATACGGAAAGTCTGTGCATCAGACTCAGTTGATGATGCACAGAAATCTGTGCATCACTTCGTGATACCGTACCTAAGGTGCCTAAAGTGGATTTGCACCAATATTACCTCCCACCGGTACTCATTCTGTCATTCATATTAACAAGAGTAGATAATATAACAAGAGTGAGACACCCGATTCCCGCATTTCTAACCGATCTTTCTCATTAAAATATGCCACCAATAAAGAAGCAAGTGTATACGTTCCTCAGCTTATTATATGACCACTAATCACTCACCTTCGTGGTACTGATATTCGTTTACATATATTTTCTAGCGTATTGCTGTAAATCCTAATCTTGCACGAGCTGAATTCGCACGATTTACCGCTGTGTTGTTAGGTGTTTAGACAACTTTAGAAGCTGCAGTAGCGCCAATATTTAGCAACAGACAGTGTCAGACTGCTTCCAAATGATTCGTGCCTCGAGAGGGTTGAGAGACAATCTAAATTTCGAAGTTTGATCTCTTGAGGAACCACGAGACGCGCTCAGTTATTGTGATCGCAACACAAGAAATTGACATACTATCTTACATAAGTAATAATTAAATAATAACAATATTCTTTGTAGTAGTTTGCAGTAAGTATCACATTACGCACGCACAGGTGATAAAGTACATTAAACCCCTATCAGGGCACGAATGATTTGGAAGCAGTCCGTTGCTAAATATTGGCGCCACTGCAGCTTCTAAAGTTGTCTAAACACCTAACAACAACAGTGGTAAATCGTGCGAATTCAGCTCGTGCAAGATTACGATTTACAGCAATACGCTAGCAAATATATGTAAACGAATATCAGTACCACGAAGGTGAGTGATTAGTGGTCATAATAAGCTGAGGAACGTATACACTTGCTTCTTTATTGGTGGCAAATTTTGATGAGAAATATCAGTTAGAAATGCGGGAATCGGGTGTCTCACTCTTTGTTATTATCTACTCTTGATATTAAGGAGTAGCTCTAGTACTATAGCCCGCTTTCATTAACTGCCGCAGGGCTATAGAACATCTGCAACTGTATTTTGCAGCAACACCGGGTCCCGACAGATTCACAGGCACTTGAAGCGTTTCAATAAAATATAATGCTAACTAAATACGAAATCTATTTACTACCAAATTCTTAATGTTTCTATATAGGCCTACTCTCTTTCACCTATTATTGCCGACAGTTTCCTGTCAATTCCGTCCAAATCCTACGTCCAACCATATACGCTGCCGGCATCATTGCTTTCGCGGCGCGACTGTTGCACGCTTACATTAATATATATAGCAGATAGGAAAGCGCGATCGCAAAATTCGCTCGACGCTCGCTGGATTTCACACTTTCACAGCACGAATACACATCCAACAGCTTCCATCTTTGTTTGTATGTCAAGAACAGTGTTCACTTGTTATAAAAACATAATGTCTCTGTTCGTAACCGAGCTGTGTCACGCGAAATGACACAAAGACTGACGAAATTCTCGCGTTCGCGAACCTTGCCCTGTAATGTAAATGGCTGCAAGTACAGGGCTATAATATAGACTGGGACTTGCTCCCACCTCGATTACCCATCGAGTGACTAAGCTAAGCCGAGAGGTGGGAGCGATGGGCTATAGGCGGCGCGCAGGCTGCGCACTGGTCTCCAACTCCCGTACGAGCCTCGCCATTGGAATGTTGCAAAAACGTTGCAGCGTTGCGGCGCAAGAATCCGGTCACGAAGAGCGCCGGTGGGTGTTTCCTGATTCTGACTTACATTTACATTACGGGGCAAGGTTCGCGAACGAGAGAATTTCATCAGTCTTTGTGTGATTTCGCGTGACACAGCTCGGTTACGAACAGAGACATTATGTTTTTATAACAAGTGAACACTGTTCTTGACATACAAACAAAGATGGAAGCTGTTGGATGTGTATTCGTGCTGTGAAAGTGTGAAATCCAGTGAGCGTCGAGCGAATTTTGCGATCGCGCTTTCTTACCTGCTATATATATATTAATAAGTGTAAGCGTGCAACAGTCGCGCCGCGAAAGCAATGGCGCCGGTAGCGTATATGGTTGGACGTAGGATTTGGACAGAATTGACAGGAAACTGTCGGCAATAATAGGTGAAAGAGAGTATAGCAATATTGACAATTTGGTAGTAAATAGATTGGGAGAGAAGTGCCTATGGACAGGTTCCACTCAAAATGGCTCACAAAACGGAAAATTATCGGGCTTTTTAACACTTATTTATCTACATGGACATCTCACCTATCTTTTTGAACACTTTCCACAACTTTACACCATGTATTTATGCATTTATTACTCAAAGTCAGCACTACTGGCATTTCCGTTTGAAATATTCTGGCGTGTGCACGGGACCCGGTGTTGCTGCGAAATCCAGTTGAAGATGTTCTATAGCCCTGCGGCAGTTAATGAAAGCAGGCTATAGTACTAGAGCTAATTAAGGAGTAGTCCGAGATTCCTCTGACCAATGCCCAGACGGACGATTTTTGTGGTTTTGGTGTGGGTTAGGTCAGAGCAACTTGCCTATACAAAATGTGGAATTTCTCCGATCCCGCCGAGGATCGCTGTTTTATACCAAGTAGCGTATTTGGTAGCGTGGTAGTTTCCCAAAATGCAGTTGGATGCACGATGGATGGCCGATGCATGTTGGAGGGAAATTGTTTGCAACAAATTTTCAAATCGAAATACGACTAAGGTAAAAGAGTACAAGTGTACTTACCAATGCGAGCAAGCATATAAGTGATCCAGTTTTCGATCTATGTGCGTCAGATCTTGATTGATAGCCCCAATTGTGAGTTTGGAGCGATAAAACAACGATCCTCGGCGGGATCGGAGAAGTTCCACGTTTTGTATAGGCAAGTTGCTCTGACCTAACCCACACCAAAACCACCAAAATCGTCAGTGTGGGCATTGGTCAGAGGAATCTTGGACTAATTAAGGAGTAGGCCTAGGCTACATGATGATGAAGACAGAAGAGTGTGAGTCTTGCTTGAAACATTAAAATGAAACATTGATTGATGAATTTGATTTTCAATTTCATTCCATTGTCATTGATCTTGCCAATGCCAATGGCAATGACAATGTTTCTGAAATTAGAATCATAGCCAGCATTATTATCAATATCATGCCAGCATGATCATCTCTGCCGGTATGGAAGAAATAAATAGGGTCGTAACTCCCATTCAAGCACATAATCCGCACGATACAAATAGGAAACACGCCAAAGACGTTTCTTCCACGGACACGCGTATCCTCTTTCCATTTTTAAAATATTTATTTAGGTAATTATCCATATACTGATATAGGCCTAGTAATAGTATATATACACTAATACAGTTAGCATACTTTTACTTTTAGTTTTAGTTTTACAATATATTTTGCATTCATGAAATTGGATAACTACCCAGGATATATTACTAATAGTAATACTATACTATAGTACTAAGTATATACTTAGATAAGATAAGATACTAAGATAGTATTACTATTAGACTTAGTTTACATGCAGACAAAGGCAGCTAGATTTGCTCATCAATGGCTCCATTATTGCGTGGTCGTAAGCACATGGACGTGAGCGTCTGGTGAATTTCACGGTGAGGCTGGCTGGCTTCTCTCTCTTTCTCTCCCGATTTTGACCAATTGTGACTGAATGTGGAGTATTGAAAGTCGGGGTGCTTATATAGGAAGGCCAACCCTTGCGTCCGTTGTCCCTTTGTCCCATGGTGATGGTCCGAAGTGATGTCATTGGGTCACTAGAATGTCTGGAAGATGCTGGAAATTAAGATGTTTACCAAGCAGCAACTACTTGCGCTCATAGGGTCTATGTCCCCCAGGGTACTGCGACTACTGCCGGAACGTACCCTGGGTACGGTCCAGTATACCGGAACGTACCCTGGTCACTATTTGATATGGTTAGGGTTAGGATTAGGGTTAGGGAGTAGCCGTAGGCAACTCCCTAGACTCGTTAGTGGAGTAGGCGAGGTACGGTCTGGCATATTAGATAGTACCAGGGTACGTTCCGGTATACCGGACCGTACCCACTACCCAGGGTACGTTCCGGCAGTACCCCGGGGGACATAGACCCTCTTAGCACTACTTGCAGCAAATTTACTCACACAGGCAGAATCTTTTATGCTTTTACTATGGTTTACTGAGAATTTCTTGACAGTATTTGCTGCCGATTTTGAGAGCAGGCAGCAAAACTGATGTGTGCATGCTGCCCTTGATTTCAAACCCTGACATAGTAAAAGATTATATTATAGTATATGTTGATGTTGATGGATCAGTCGTCTGCATCCTTAGTGTAAGCTACAATCAGTATTCATTCTCGGGTGCGTTGACCGAATCGGTGAAGTAATAGGAGATGAAGGTCATCCATTATATGGCCCACAGGTATAACTTAAATGCGTTCAAGAACAACAAGATTATATTAGTTTTATGGCATCGTTACTTTGTTGGTTTAGCATGCATTATACAATTTAGAATTTTTGTGGCAATATTCTTAGTATATATACCAACCAATTTAAGCGGACCTAAAATAAAATTTAAAATAGTATATTTATATAATCATATATGTGGTATCAGGGGTTAATGACAAAGGAGTTTGACACGTATTCGATGCTGATTTCACTACATTTTGTCGTACGAGTTTGATGTGAATAAAAATAAAAATGTATACAAACATGAGCTTCTTCTGCACACTGGTCCTTACTCTATCTTCCGATCAGTGGCGTCACAGCCTATAGGCTGCCGTAGCAAAATGCTACGGTCCCCCAGCCTAAAGGGGCCCCCAAACATCCCCCAAATTTTTTTAAACTGCCGTTTGGCTCTTTGAGGTCTTGTATAACGTTAATGATTACCGCTCGTAATGGCCGTTAGGGGGCCTACTCGCCAGAGTAGGCCCAGAGCCGTATATAGAGGCGCTATAGACAGCTCTATATACGACTCTGAGTAGGCCGGCTCTAGACTGGCTCGCGGCCCCCACTGTCTATCACAAGCAGAGCAAGCGTAATGCGGGGGACCAGTCTATATGGGGTTGGCTGCGAACTGCTGCAGTCACAGTGAACCAAGCTTACAGGCATTAGTGTAGCGAAGCGGAACATAGCGCCTGTATTATACAGGTTAGGCCCTGTATAGAACATTTTAGGGAGTGTTGCGTACAGAGAAGTCTGAAAGCTCTAATTCAAATTGAAATCGGAGTTATTTTGATTCACTGGAATTCATCAGCTCTAAAAATGGAAATATTTCTTGCGCTGCCATCATGACAATTTCTAACCTGGTTATAGTATAAAATTTCAATAATTCCCATTTAAATTTGCATTATTTGGATGCATTCAAAATAGCCTCAGAATGCTGGAAATAGCATTTTAGAGCATCTAAATTTCAAAATGTTCAGGGGGAGGCCCCCCAGACCCCCTGTTTGGACTTCGTGCCTCCTCCACTCGTGCCGTGCACCTGCGGAATAGGATTCGTAAAAAACTTAATGTTTAGGGCCCTCATTTTATTTTTGCTTACAGGCCCCCAATTATGTTGTGATGCCACTGCTTCTAATAGTATTATAAACTGCGTAGCTTCCTTCGTTTGACATAAATCGTACTTTTGTACAACATGGTTTTCACTTTATTTACCGTTGGAATTGGCGGTGTTCCCACAAATTCTACAGCGCCTCTTACAGAGAAAACTTGAAGGAGGCGCGGCAGGGATTGTCTCCTGTACGTTATCTCGCAAAAAATGTTCTCGTAACTCGCAGTTAAAAAATGGCAGAGAAAGTCGATGCATGTAGAAATTCTTCAGAAACATCCGGACGTAGGATCGACCGCAGGCGCAGACGGTGTATTGCTACAAGACCGTTAACGGCACTAGAGATGGGTGTAAACACATATGGCATGCGTTTGCTTGTAATTGCATAGCCACGGTTGCTATGTATATATATATACAGAACACGTGAGAAAAGGTACAATCCTATTGGCGGGAACGTTAGTTTACTCTACGATTCATACACATCGTTCCTCCACGGGTGAAGTAGTTCAGATATTTTACCAGCGTTTATTTAATAAAACTGCAGGATTCAACTATAAAAACAAGGCATTCTAACTATAGTTTAAATGTAAAATAGTTTTAATTTTTTAAACCCAGCATGGGTGCAACGAAACCTAATTTCGAAGTGCATTTTCTGCACTCAGACTACGGCCTAAAATCCCTGCCGCGCCTCCTGTGAGTTTCTCCGTAATACACTGTATGTGGTTAGACTAGACTTCCAACAGTAAATAAACTGAAAACCATGTCCTGAAAAAGTACGATTTATGTCAAAACGAAGGAAGCTACGCAGTTTGTAATACTACCAGAAGATAGAATAAGGACCAGTGAACAGAAGAAACTCATGTTTGTATACATTTTTATTTTATATTCATATCAAACTCGTACGACAAAATGTAGTGAAATCAGTACCAAATACGTATCAAACTCATTTGTTATTATTAACCCCTGGTGGTATTCATTTGATGACCTAGGCAAAAAGGTCATCATGCTTGATCATCAAGGGTGCTAATCATGCTGAGCACGATGGTGCCTCCTTATCACCCAGATGTTTGCTGCAGAGGAACTGTGACACGAATAACCAGGGGCAGTTTGCTGGTGTCTCTGCAGCTGACACACGTAAGTGAATGCTAGTGGCAGCAGTTTAGGACATATTATAATAAACCTTTTAGCTGTTAACAGAACAATCAATCATGTGATCAACTCAACAAGTTGCCTGTAACTTTGGTGCCTTAATGTTGATTTATTAGAAATTTCTTGGCAGCAAGTAATTGCTGCTGACATTGAGAGCAGGCAGCCGACTGACCTTTGTAGGCAGCAAAACTGCTGCTAGTTGGCATTAATTTTGACCCGTTGTAATGAAGATTATACTTTTAAGAAGGCATGTATGCTCTTGATATATATATTTATTTAGCAATTTTCATAAAGTTGGTAAATTGCATGTATATGTCTACGTACAATATTAGTTACCTATGGAAACTTCCTTATAACTTTAGTTATATGTTGAGCTGTATTTACAGCCTTTTCTACAAAGGACGAGAAGGAAAAGGCACTAAACCAGCAACAACATAGTACCTCATATAGACCGAAAACAGTTCTGCCAAGGTTTATTGAGGTTTGAAGCATAAATTGTATTGTATTAAAAGCGGGTAACAAGTTCTTGATGATGAATTAAGTTAAACTGAATTATTTTCAGTGAACTCAAATAAAATGGGCTAAGAAGGAAGTAGGGGGAACATTCCCTCCTTAACTGAAGGTATAGGGAGGAAATGCAGAATTGCGGCACAAATCTAAACGGCTCAACCTAGGCTCGTGATAGTCGGTGTATAGCATCATGGTAGGAAAAGCCATCACTGTGCCAAAATTTGAGGTCACAGGTCAAAGGTCAATGGGGAACAGGGCAGATTTTAGACATTTTCTGAGGACATGGTCTGACGGAGCGATTGAAAAACTTTTTTGCTTCAGCGGTGACCTAGCATTTTTATGGCTTTATTGAAAGGACCATGAAATGTACTTTCTGCTGACATGCGAAGAGTAAGTGTCGGATAACCTTTTGACCCTCAAGAGGAGGGTTAAACATGGATTTGTTTACTGTTAGAAAGAATTTGACTGCCGGGTTTGCTAGTAGAATCTATACATGCCTGGATGTATGAGGCTACAATGTCACAGTGAAATTTCAAAAGCTAACTTTGGTTGAAGAAGGTTTATGCTCCTTAAATCATATAATTTCTATGGCATTCTGTACTGTCAGTGTGTTACATGTAACTTATGCCACTGCCAGTGGCCACTGCCAGTGCATTTAGTGGTGATAGTACTGTGTAGTTTTTGCCTGCGTTAATTAGTTACAGGTGGCAGCTCTCTATTTCAGCCTGTAGGCTTGCGTAGGTAAATGGATGAGTGCTTACCTATTCTGTCTTGCAAATAGTTGTTGCTACTACGTACGATGGGAGTTTCATCTTTAAACTTAAGACACTGAAACGTACGCGCCATCTCGTGGCAACTTTCATAACGATCCCAACGAACATTCCTTTGAGAAGGTTCCTGATACCATCCCTGTGCCTTCCAATGTTTCGGCGCGTATGTGAACACATTTGGGACTAACAGGGTTTACTAGAATCCCACCACTCCACCAGTCACCGCAGTAGACGTTAGATGAGCGCTGTCGCTCCGCGGCACTTGTTTATAACAGTAGGACTTTTTGTTAAGTTCGTTGATGTTATAGATAAGTCGCAGTAAGTACTAACAGTATAGCAATATATTCCACTTACCTTGGGCAATCCTAAACACAGCCGTTCAATCATTGCGAAGTTTAGACTAGTGCTAATATCTCCATTGTTAGAAATGCTGAAGTTGCTGATTCTTCAAAAGCTATTTCTCGAAGCTCACAACTCCAATTCCAACAATGTTTGTTGCGTTTTAATGCTACCATATTAAAGGAAAAAAACTCCCTGGAATTTTTATGAAATATTTGATTTTAGAAGTTATGGCTCTTTGTTTACGAAATTGTCATCTTTTAAAAATCATTACAAATTTTTGTGCATCTTTTCAAACTAATTTCCTTAATTAAGGCATTTAAAACAATTCCATTTACCATTTAGTTCATACTATGAACAGCTTATGGCTAAAAGTTTAGGTCCCAACTCGTTGCTGTTTCTGAGAAATAAGAAAAAAACATTTTTATATAAATTCACAATTTTGTCGTTGCGTAATTAGTGATGAAGTTTTTTTGATGATTTTCATTGAGAGCGTAGAGAGGCATCTCTTTTACGAAATAGATATGAATTTGATGAGCAGTTATGTTGCAATTCCCTTTACAGAGATACTGTCCGTAACCCTGACTGTATCCTTAAAATGGATAAACCTCTACAAAAAGCCTACATACACCTACTGTGAGCATACTTGTAGTAAATTTTTGCAACATAGACGAGCTCACAGTAGGTATATCTATGCATTTTGCTGCGAGAACATGCCATTTAAATGAATTAACATTAGCTTGCAGTGCCACGTGGTGGATCAGGTTTGTGAGCTGTGTGTGGTGGTGATTTTTTTCAGCTGTACCAATACCCAGGTTTTAAGGCGGTCGAAATAACACCTCTGCCAGAGGGTGCTAACATCGATGTGGTCATTTTGCGTGTAGTCAATGCCCAATCACGATTACACTGGAAGGTAAGAAATGACCGTTTTTATCTTCCTATTGCGTTCAAAGAAGAGATTTTTACAGTCACCAACTAAATTGTGTACATCACACAAAATGTACTTGCTATAAAAACATACAGTTATACATAAGTTATTAGGCTTTGTGTTCATTCCATGAAGTGTAGAACCATGCTATAATAATGTCGTTGGTATTTACATCGCATGCTGTCTGTGATATTTAAGGAAGGACAGGGTTTATGTTCTTCATATATGGCTAGACAAAATTGTTATTAAGAAAATTCTTTTGAAAAGAACCGAAGTACAAACTTGAAATGTCTTCATTAGAGTGATAAACTGGCAATGTCATTCACACGTTTATACATTAAATTACCTGTGTACTACTGGTGTCAGTCACGGGAAAGTATTTAGTTTCACGAGATAGTGTGTGGACTACAATTTGTTTCATGCAAAGCCTGATATGGATGCCTTTTTAACTCGTTAACTTAATGTTTTCAGGCAGCATTAAGGGCTGAATTTTTCAAGATTATTTCGAGAAATGTGTCAAAAGCACTCCTGCTGGTAAGAACCATATCTGAAATTGAAATAAATGTGAGAAAATCGATGACCATCCTGCATAATCAGGATATGACGTACCTAATTGTCTGTTACTGCATCTTACTCTTACCTAGTCTGCACCTTATTTACTGCACGTGTTTTAAAGTTTTTGCACAATAAATATTTGCAGGACACATTTTGGTGGGCATATCTAGACAAGTTCCAGCCACACAAATCAACCCAGCAGAAATTGTTTGATCGAATATCCAAAAACTACGTGAGGCTGATTCTAGAAGATAGGTTCAAATACAGAGATTTTTTTATGAAGGTGAGAAGTTGAGCGTGAAGCTTTAATTGTAACCCTCTCCAAGAGTATATTAATTTTATCGCGTGCTCGCTTTATGGTTTTCAATATATTGGCGGACAACCCGCTGGTAAACACTCATGGAGTTCTATCATCTCAGTTTTTTACTAGTAATTTATTTGTGAGTAATACATAAGCAATGTCGATCAGTAGTTATATTAGGCTTCAGTTGCTCCTGCTGTCAGTATATGTTGCTATAAGCTTGTGGTATATGTGACATCCCGTAGGTGTGAATCTGATTGTTTTGGGTTGGTTGTTTTGTTAGGAATATCCTGACATTCTCGCCCAACTTGTCTTTGCTGCATTGTGCGAGTCCTTTCCCCATTCTCTGTCTCAGTTTGGAGAGGAACTCATGGCAAACCTTCTCAACCTAACCATGCTATGGATGACAGGTGAGATGGGCATTACACTCCCATTCTAGACATTTATCTTGCATATATATGAGTGCACATGTAGTTCATGAAAGTTATTTTATCCTGTGGGCGGACGTTTGTAATGTGATGGTTTTCGAAATCAGTGTTGATAATTATCACTGGTATGAACACCAAGCGATTACCAGTAACAAGTGCCGCAGTGCGACAGGGCTCATCTGGTGTCTGGTGTGTTCTGCTGATAAATTCATTTGTGCATAGTAGACGTCTTATACATAAGTCTTCTTTGTTCTTGTTTGACTTTCATAGCCAATTGGAACAAATATATCAGCTACACTTTCGCACCCACCTAATCTCTATGCATTGCAGACACATGTGCATTGCAGGTTGGCAGGCAACAATTATGATTAGAAGCGTGCCAGCCATGGGCTGCCCCGTGTTTTTGCCTACACACACGAGCATTCACTGATTCAGCCTTCAGGGTGCTATAGACAGACTGCTTTAGAAAATAATATGATTTAAGGAGCGTAAACCTTGTTCAACAAACATTTGCCTTTGCAATTAAACTGTGCAACTGTAGCCTCACATTCACACAGGTATGGGCTCTAATAATAGCAAAAGCAGTTCAGTCCTTTGTTAACTTAACAGTCAACAAATCAATGTTTAACCCCTCCTCTTGAGGGGTCAAAAGGTTATCCAACACCTACCTTTCGCGATGTCAGCCGCCGAAAAGTAACATTTCACGCCCCCCTTTCAAATAAAAGCCATAAAAGAATGGGTAGGTCACCGCTGAAACAAAAAAGTTTTTCAAATCGGCTCCGTCAGACCATGTCCTCAGAAAATGTTCTAAAATCTGCCCTCTGCCCCATTGACCTTTGACCTGTGACCTCCAATTCGGCACAAGTGATGTCTAGAATGTTTTAGATTTCGCACGGTGTCGTTTTAGATTTGGTGGCCCGCAATCCTGGCATTTCCTCCTATACCTTAAGTTAAGGAGGAATGTTCCCCCTTCTTTTACGCCTCTTGACCTTTGACCTTTGACCCCCCAGTTTCGACATCCCAAACTTTCGTTTGTCGGATTACCCCCCCCCCAATTCCCGAATATCGTGACCGTACGTCGAGCGGTTAAGATTTGTGCCCAACTGTTGACGGACGCACGCACGCACGCACGGACAATCATGTGATTCTACAAGCTGCATCTGAATACGTCAGATGAGCTAATAAATAATATATGAGGCATTGCGTTCTCATTTACTAAGGTCACTCTTTATCGAATGCCACAAATTAAGGCAATTCTATGTGTGATAGTGTGAGGCTCTGGTTTCTGATGTCCCTATTATTGTCTGTCATGTCAGGGACGAAACCTGCACCACAGCACTACCAAAAGTGGAACACAGCAGTCCTGCAGCCTTGTCGGCAATTAGAAACAGAATGTAATACAGGGAGTAGACGTAAGTGTAACAATGAATAAAGCGTGCAGTGTGTCACAGTGCCGAGAATGTAGCATGCTACCGAAAGTGTAGAAAACAAACCGCTTGTCCCTATACGATGCCTCTACGCTTAGATAATGATCGGTGAAAATCTGGTATTTTCGCCGAAAACCGACTCGAGATCAGTGTTTACTGCAACTGTCTCTCGTTTTGTGGACTGTATGTTGCTTCCGGTCGCCGCTGTGTAGCGCCGACTCGATACACTACAGCGTTACTACATCCAGCGTAAGGGGCGGGTCATCACCATGGCGATAAATAACAAGAAGTTTTTGTGGAGTAATGGCTGCGTCAATGACTGAAAATGCGAGAAAAGATAGTGGAAAGAAAAGAAATTTCATTGTCAATGAATGACGGAAACACGCGAGGTTTCCCGAAGCTATTGCCAGAACGAGAGACAGTTGCAGTAAACACTGATCTCGAGTCGGTTTTCGATGAAAATACCAGATTTTGTATCGTAGGCATCGTAGGGACAAGCGGTTTGTTTTATATTAGCAAGGTAGGACAGCTGATCAATAATACCACAAAGAATCGTCAGAATAAAACGGGCAAAGCTTATTAATTCGACCAATACTGCAGCATGGTTTCACATATGCGCCTCCTTCGAGTTGCGGTGCATGAGAATTTGCAGCTTGGCAACGCCACACGACGGTAAATAACGTGAAAACCAAGTGCAAAAGTATGATTTATGTCAAAACGAAAGAAGCTACGCTGTTTGTAATACTACCGGAAGATAGAATAAGGACCAGTGAACAAAAGAAGCTCATGTTTGTATACCTTTTTATTTTTATTCACATCGAACTCGTACAACAAAAATGTAGTGAAATCGGTACCAAATACGAGTCAAACTCCTTTGTCATTATTAACTCCTGATATAATAAATATATATTTTCAGGAAACAGTAAAAGAGTATCAGCTGTCAGCTTTCCTAGCCCTAGTGTTGCTGCAGTGGAAACAGTTGTCAAGGAGACAAAGGCGGTTGCCAGGCGACAGAGCCTGACCCCAAGCAATCCAGTGATCAGCGTGCTGGAAAAGTGTCAGGATGATGCCGCTCGTGGGACTGAGGAAGGAAAACACAATAAGACTACAGATCCTAAGAAAACCAGATCACCATCTTTCTCCAGCTGCTCACAGAAAACTTTGTAGTACTTTTCATCATTCGTTAGCTGACACAAGCAAATAATTACTTTGCAACACTGCGAAATGCATTGTAGGCTCTGTAAAGTGAGAACGGAAATTATCAAATTATATTATTTAGACATACCTATTTCATGCTAGTACATTTACCCATAACATATCACTACTTGTCCAGACTGCTATCTGTGCAGACTATATATGAGCAAAGATGCCTTTTTTGTGGTCCGTGCAATTGTTGAAATGGGTGTGTATATTTCATAAGCCCCATTGTGACTGTGTCTGACATGTACAGTTCATCTGCTCACCTGTAATCTATGTTCAAACACCACTTCCCAGCTACAGTGAGCATTGTTATGTTTCTTGACCAGTGACAAAAGTGAGAGTGAGGGCAAGATAAGATCAGCAGCCACAACAGCTGGTGATCACAAGTCCTCTAGCCTGCCCATCATCGACTTCAATGCGAAGAGACTTGTTCGGGAGGTAACGATCATTTGTAAATAAAAAACACTAATTAGCTTTATGTCAAAAATGTGGGCAAATAATTATGTATTTAGTGTCTTGGCTTTCCTATAATTGAATCTTCTAATATTATTGGTTTGGTTTGTTGTAAAATGTGTTTTTAGTATGGTTTTTTTTCATTGAGTAAGTTTTGTTTAAACAATTTTGTAGTCTCAGCCAGCTGGAAGAAGTGAGGAATTTTCAAGATCAGTGTTTAACATTCATGGTCAGAGCCCTCTGGTGAGGCATTATTTGTCTACCAGGAATCTTGACAATAGTGGTTCCATCTCTGTTCTAGTACGGCGGACAGAAATTGAAAAACCACCTCCACCGGGTGAGAATGCAGATTGTAGTCTACATTGTTAATTACAACATACAGGATTATGGATATTGTGGTGCCTATATATTAATAATAATATTAATATATATCTGCAATTAATCAACCAAAGGTGCCATTTACATGGGTGAGAAAAGCTTGGAATAAATTTACCAAAAATCCTCATTTAATAAAAACCATGAGATGTTTATTTTTAAACCCTAGACTGCAAGACATATAGAGATATTATTAAAGAAAGCCTACAGTTGAGTAAGGATGTGACAATTGGCCACAAAAGGGCCCTGGAGGGTGGCATGCAGAGCAAGTTGCACATAGAGCAGCATTATCAGGAAGAGATGAAGAGTCTACTCAGGTAAATATTATGGTATTGAATAGCTAGAAGTGCTCGGACTCATCGTCCTGAGTAACGCAAGTTACTGACCAATAATGAAAATCAGATCGTGACAACAGGAGTAAAAAGTACACTTTGAAGAATGTAAATTATTATGTTTATTAAATCTTTATTGCATGCAATTCAAATACAATTATACGTACTGAAAATCGTCAACAAAAATAGTTCTACTCCTTTACATTTAGCCTACACAAGCAGCTGCTAGCCAATCCAAGATGTGTTAAGAAAATGAGTGACCAGATCATAATGAACTTAAAAGTAAGTGACTGCATGTACACTGTATAGTCTTCATTTGTGTTTAGCTTGTTTAGAGTATTCTGATGGAGCTTATAAAATGAACCCTATAGTTTTGTTGTTTGTGCATGTAATGTAGGCATAAGTATAAATGCTGGATCAAGGCTATGTATATATACATATATATATATAATATGTATATATACATATATATATATAATATGTATATATACATATATATATATAACACAATAGCTTTACCTCTTGGTTTTCAGACACAAAAGGAATATCAAGGCCTTTCCCTAGAGTCAGTGGAAAGAGATATAATGAAGTTATAAAACAGGAGAGCAATCTATAATGTAGAAACCAAGCTTTAATTGAAAAGTTCTGTAATGTAAACTAAGGAGAGAGACAATTGCTTACATTTCTGGTTTGTGTACGGACTGTGACCAATATTATTTAATGGAAAACCCCTCACTAAACCCAATTGCTTTTTCTGTGTACGAAAGCAGTTTGTGCATCTGTTTCAAACTGAAAAGGAATAGTCCATTGTAGTCCTAAATTCTATTGACTGTGATACTGACTTCACTCCAAACTAGGATACTACTACTATATATATATATATACATATAAATATCATAACATATTTATACAAAGCTAACTAATATATAGTGATGCTGTTTAAAACTAGCATGCACATAACCTATAGTAGCCCTACCAGGGAACTTGACTGCTCTCATTGCAGATGACACTTGCTGTTATTGACTTTTTGACTGATCTTTATGTTGATCTTTAGTCAGGCAGTGCGTGAAGGCTGATCAGGTGTCTTAGTGTGGGACGACCGTGAGGGCAATTCCAAGGCTGTTTCATGTCTCCCATGTGTGATACCAACTAGATTTTAAATCGCATTATTGCATTACCATTATTGCATAAACATTTATTGCACCAACCACGACCAATCTGTGAATATACTATTTATAATATGATCAAGTTAAGCATGATAATTTTAACTGTGTTTATGCTACTATAAGCAAACCACAGCAATTTTATATGTTGGCAACTGTCTATAATAAGTAAATAAAAATGCATTCACGTTTTCATAACCTGTTTATGAGCTGGTATTTTGTTAACTCGATTTGTTGCCACAATTGTACCTTTTTCATCTCAGAATGGCTCAGTGCTGTCCCAATCATGATCGACTTTCTGCACGCACGAGAGGCGAACATGTGGGAAACTCTCGTAGGTCTGCACATCACACCAGGTGCATCACTTAACATGAAGATTAATTCATCAACGTCTGTAAACAAAATGTTATTCATTGGCTTACATTTAAATTTAAAGACAACTGAGAAAAACCTATATTTTGATAATCTTCACTAGCCAAAATTCTTGTTATGCATTTCGACCTGTAGATGGCGCTGTGTATCACTCTAAAATTAGAAAATGATAACACTCGGTTCACTCACTATACAGGGTCTCCAACCCTGTGAACTCCAAATGCGGAATGAAATTGATAGACAGGGGGGGGGGGCGAAATTAACCTTGGCTGCCACAGGCAGGCCCGCGTGCCGTAGGCATGCCAGTGCGTAGGGGAGTGTGGGGGCATGCCCCC